AGGAGAACAAAAACTTAGGAAGTTGAGTTACTAAAGGGAGATAACTGAAACTGAGATATCCGGAAGAGGCATGGCATGTGGAGCTAGAACAATCTACCGCGGTGGACAAAATAAAAGGTTCGGTTCGAAATTCCAGTCACCTGAAGAAGATCGGAGCCTACAACGGCTGTAACGCTGTGAATATGACAACAAAGATAAGAACAACAGTCTAGAGATAGTAAATACTATAAATAGTTACAATACCTCATCTCATAAATATAGACAAACTTTGTTATAATAGCAAGAACAACAAAATTATGAATAAACACACTTTTCAGTAAAATACAGTACTGTTCGATAAAAGTGACTCACCTAATTTTTGTTTTACTAAATGTTCTCTTCTTCGATGAAACGAAAGTTGAGCTAAATTCAAAGGATAAGTGGTCTAAAATCTGAAGAAGAAGCTTTGAAAGCTCTTTGAATTTAGCAGTAAGTACTGTCAAGCATCCGTTCAGTATAATGTTCTGGGGATGCTTTTCTTTTCATGGAACTGGTTTCTTAAAACCTATTGAAAAGACCCTCAGGAGCGAGTAGTACAAGAGAATTTTAGAGTCTTGTCTGCTCCCTTCTGCTGAAAGGGTGCAAATCGACCCCACTAAGCTCATTTTTATGCAGGATAATGCTCCCTGTCACAAATCAAAATTGATGAAGAATACTTTGATGGGAAGCAGGTGAATGTTATGACATGGCCGCCTCAATCTCCTGACCTCAACCCCATAGAAAACTTATGGAACATTATAAAGTACAGGCTCTCGAGAAAGCAGTTGAGCAACAGAGAGGATTTGATTGCGAATTTCATATCCGAATGGAATTCAATTCTTGGAGATGAGATTTGCCAGAACCTAATCAAGTCAATGCCAAAAAGGGTTGAAAAGGTTATTCAAAATAAAGGAGGACCCATAGATTATTAAATATTTCGAACTATATTACCTATTATAAATAAATTATATCTCTATTATTCTTTATTTAAAGCTGTTCGGTTATGTTTCTATTGATTACTAGTTGCAGGAAATAAGTGAGTCACTTTTTTTGCACAGATTTTTTTCCCCTAAATCTCATTTATATCCAAAATTATAATTATCAATAGAATACCTTAGGGTGAGTAAACTTTTTTACTAGGTGGTCAGGAAGAGGTCTTTATATTAGTAAGATTAAAAATTAGTTTGACCCCAAAAACAATAGGCGAAAACATTTTTAAGTAAAAAAAATCAGGTGAGTCACTTTTATCGAACTGCACTGTAGAAGTGGACATTTGTACTACATCTGTGCGTGTGACGTAAAAGCATTTCTACTATTCATAAGTCACAGACGCATCCACATGCCATCGAGAGATTAATTAAAATCAATGAAAACTGATCATGTCATCATTACTTGGTGGGATTATGCGTGTTCTTCAACAACTTCAACGGTGTTCTTCTATACAAATAAGCCATTCCAGTTGCTTATTGATCCAATGGCTCGCTGAAGTGTACAAGTCACTCACTCTGAAAGGCTGCCTTCCAGTTATATATCGATGGATGCTGGAAACTCAGCAGAGCCTCGACTGAAAATATCGTTGCAAATTAAAAAATGCTGCATCATGAACACACTGGACGACAGTGAATAAGAAATCAATTTTATTTTGAGGAAGAAAGACAAGAAACACTACAGACAACAACAACGAAAATATTTACTACACTGAGAAAAGGATAAAATTCATTTCTTATAGACTATACTTATTCCAACTTTTGGTTTATGTGAGCTATTTCGGTTGCTTCAGTTTTCGCCTTTATATAACCTTCTTGCCCTTTTAGACATACAATATTTTCTTTTCGTTTTTCAACTGTGCCTTAGTTTCTGGAGTTCTATTTTTCATCGTTCATGAATTTTCCTTTTCTTCTATCTTCGTTTTCTCCTAAAAGAATCTTCTTTTTATATTTTTCTTTAAGTGGTTCTGTTATTTTTTTTAAGTTTCTTTTGCAGCTTTGATATTTTCAAACAATGAGTTTGATGTTTATTCATTCTCAAAGTCTTTTGTTTATATGTTTGGAAGACGATGTTCTTGTATTTTCGTTTCGTTTATCTCATTTGTACTTTTTTAATCTTCTTCTTCTTCTTCTTCTTCTTCTTCTTCTTCTTCTTCTTCTTCTTCTTCCCATGTCTCTTCAAACTCTTCACAACTTCTCTTCCTATCTTGTTCTTAGTAATATTTTCTTTGCGATCTCGCTTAATCCCTGTTTTGCTATGTACCCAAACTCGTTAGGTACGTTATTCGCTGTTTTCCTCTGTCTCGCTTTCCTTCAATATGTCACGTGAGCGTCAAATTCTTAAAGCTCTCTTTCCTCATTAAAAACTCTAAAAAAAATTATTTTCTTTTCCTGATTCTAAGTATACGTAAAATTCGTTAAAACTTTTTTGTTATTAACATGTTAAGTCCATGGTATTCTCTGCGTCCTTCTGTAGAATCACATTTTCGTTGCCTCAGGTCTCTTCATCTGTGAGGAGATAGTCCAGTATTCACTGCCATATACGAGGTCGATATTACGAAACAATTCATTACTCTTTTCTTTGTTTCTAACGTCACCAATTTTTTCACCAATCCGTAGTTTGGATCTTGTGCTATTTCTTTTACTGACAACTACACGTTCCGTTTTCTTGAAATTGATGCTTAGTCCTTTTTCTCGCTTTCCTTTAGTACTTTCCGTGGGAGTTCCTGTAGTTTTCTTTATGCGCTTGCTATTAACGTTGTGTCATCTGCATACCTTATGACTGTGTCCACCACCAATAATGAATCCTGGTAAAACTTATAATGCACTTACTATAAAGTCCGGTGAGAAGACACATCCTTGTCTTACAACCTATTTCTATTTTTGTAGATTTACTGAATTAATTTACTATCTGTATGCAGATGGTTTGCACCCAGCGTAAGTTCTGGATTATTCTAATAACTTTTTTTCCAAAAACAAACTCACCTAGCAGTTCAAACAATTCTTTGTGTTGCACTTTATCAAACGCTTTGCCTTTCATCAGCATAACTGATGCTAACCTCAAGGAAAGTAACTCCTTAAACTTTCTCGCTATAACGTTTTCCCCTGATATGAATTGATTATATCGAAAATTGCTAAGTTTGCTGCTAGAAAAGTTAGTTCACTGTGTATTTCTCGACAATCTTTCTCAACAGAATCCATCTTATACTTTTGTATGGCTAATATTTGTCTGTACATTGAATATTACTGCTTCTGCTATTGTCTTGTGCTCCTGCTATGTATTTAGGGATTTTTGATAAAACCGAAAGAAGAATTTGCAATGTTATTGGTCTTCACCTGACATTTCTTCTTCAGTCACTTTCCAACCGACGTAAAGTCGCTTCATTGTGCCTTTTCTATAAATAATTTAATGGCAATTGTTCTGATGAACTGTTCTCTTTTGTACCTCGACTTCACGAGTTTAAGCGCCGTACTAAATTGGCAGTTAGGTCTCATCCTTTTACTGTTGAAGTTGCTAGTTGTAACCGTAAATCCTAATCTAATAGTTTCTTCTCGCGCACTTCTCACCTGTGGAACTCCTTCCGGCTTCTTGCTCTCTAAGAATTTACAAAAATTAATGAAACGTCAATCGCTATCTTTTGCTTTCTTGAATCCTTTTCTTTTGTTGTTCTTTTTTTCTTCATAACGTTTTCTTATTTTTTTTTCATTCTCAGTAATTCATTGTGTCTTAGTGGCTTTCTCGCCTTGCTTGAATTGAAGGGATTTAAACTAAAACAATTTAGGAAGTGTCTTTGCGGTTAGTGGTCTGAGATTTGATAGAATGTGTTGTATGCTTTGAACGCATTATTTTCCATTTCATGTTTATGGGTATATCATCCAGTTGTACTTTGGCACCAATTGTGTACGTAAATGCTCATAATCTGGCGTCTCCTTTATAGAATCTACTATTTAGGTTAATAAGGCTGCATTTATTTATCATTATTATTTAGGGGACTCTTATAAATTAATGCATTTCAAATCTCTACCTCTCTGCCTCTCATGCACCTTAAGAACGTGGGCGATTAAAATCTTGATAAGAGACGGAAGTGCTTCCTTACCGGAAGAATCTCCTCAAAATGTGAACGCTTCTTAAAAACGGTCACTTTAATACCGGTTGTTTAAAACTTTTATTTACAACAATGATGATATATATAAAAGCTACGATATTATTTAATAAAGGTATCAAAACTTTAATTTCACACTAATGATTACATATATAACGGTTAGGATTGCAGTACATAAATAAACGGCTAAGATTTCCTTTAGTAAATACATAAAACTTTCATTTTATTCTAATGATTGCTTTTATAACGGCTCGGATTTATTAATAAATGCATCAAAACTTTCATTTCACACCAAGATTACATATATAGCAATACGGGGAATATTAAATGTTTGAAATGATTTTCCTGTAGAAATACATTGCAAGTAGTTTACTAGAGAAATATATTACGGAGTATACGTGTTGTTTATGTAATCTAGCATATAACAAGTACATTGACGTCATGGAAATGCCCAGAGCTATATGAGTTTTACTGTGATATCCGGCGTGTTATTTTGAACAAAAGGTCGGGTGTTCATCACAAGGATACATGATTTGTGAGAGAGCGGTCTGGGCAGGTGAATTATCAGTTTGAACAGGGCAAGGGAATTATCAGAGTGCCACCGGGGCACGTGAATTATCAAAGTTCGAACATGGAACGAAAACATTGGAGTTCGAACAGTGTAGAGGAATTATCGGAGTTCGAAGAGGGCACGGGAATTATCGGAGTTTGAACTGGGCGCAAGAGTTCGAATTGGGTAACGGAATTATAAGAGGGCAAATGGGGCACGGGAATTGACAGAGTGTGAACGGATTGCAAGAATTATCAGGTTGTGAACGGGACACAGTTATTATTGGTGTTCGAAAGGGGCTCGGGAATTATCGGAGTTCGAACAGAGCACGAAAATTATAAGATGCGAACGGGGCACAGGAAGATTCAAAGTGCAAACGGGGAACGGGAAGATTCAAAGTGCGAACGGGGCACGGTAAGATTCAAAGTGCGAACAGGGCACAGGAAGATTCGTGCAAACGGGGCACAAGGCGAATTGGGCATTTCAAAGTGCGAACAGGGCACAGGAAGATTCAAAGTGCGAACGGGGCACAGGAAGATTCAAAGTGCAAACGGGGCACAGGAAGATTCAAAAGTGCGAAACAGGGCACAGGAAGATTCAAAGTGCGAACAGGGCACAGGAAGATTCAAAAGTGCAGGTTTCGCACAGGAAGATTCAAAGTTCGAATTGGGCACAGGAAGATTCAAAGTGCAAACGGGGCACGGGAAGATTCAAAGTGCAAACGGGGCACAGGAAGATTCAAAGTGCAAACGGGGAACAGGAAGATTCAAAGTGCGAATTGGGCACAGGAAGATTCAAAGTGCGAATTGGGCACAGGAAGATTCAAAGTGCGAACGGGGCACGGGAAGATTCAAAGTGCGAACGGGGGCACGGGAAGATTCAAAGTGCAAACGGGGGAAGATTCAAAGTGCGAATGGGGCACGGTAAGATTCAAAGTGCGAAAGAAAGATTCAAAGTGCGAATTGGGCACAGGAAGATTCAAAGTGCAAACGGGACACGGGAAGATTCAAAGTGCGAACGGGGCACAGGAAGATTCAAAGTTCGAATTGGGCACAGGAAGATTCAAAGTGCAAACGGGGCACAGGAAGATTCAAAGTGCGAACGGGGCACAGGAAGATTCAAAGTGCGGATTGGGCACAGGAAGATTCAAAGTGCGAATTGGGCACAGGAAGATTCAAAGTGCGAATTGGGCATAGGAAGATTCAAAGTGCGAACGTGGCACGGGAATTAACGAATGGTGCCAGACGTATTGTACATTCCATTTCTGAAAGAGTGGGGACATTTGGCATCTCTTGAAGTTGTTACATGTGTACGGGATGGACGTGATGAAAAGCATCACTACCGATTGTGGACTGCAGAGTGTTAAGCGTCTGTTTAAAATTGTCTACAGTCACAGACAAGCGAGATTGGTTCATATCACACACGCAGGAGGTTAAAACCACAAATCCGGATATAGCGCCTCCCTTAGGCACGTGAAGTCGTTAATTGAAATATACATGTGTTACGTGGTCAACGAACCATAGTACCAGTTATTTTGCGCTGATGGAAGTGTTCGGGTGCAGTGCCAACCACATAAGGCTATGGAAACACGCTGATAAGAAGACACTAACCAGTGGTGGTTTGGGGTGTGTTACCGTGATATTGTTGGTGTCTACTGATTCGCCTAAACATTTTACTAAACAGTAACCACGACTTCTACTTGCTTCCTAAATCTATGCATCTATTCATATCATTTTGAAACATCGCATCTCATATGATCAGCAAAGTAACGTAACGTCGAGCCTGTTCAGTGTCTAGATGGGTGATCGTTTAGAAATATGTGTGGGTGGTGTAATGGATTACCGCTCGGAATTAGAAATCGAAGAAATAAGTTCCAATTCCATTTCGGTTTCTTATATTCACTTACACACCAATACCTTTAGGAAAGGTATGAATCTACCGCTGCTGTACTCAGTTATGGGTTAATTAGTAGGGCGTGTATTAGTAAATCATTACTATCTCTAAAAAGACTCTTACACTCTAAAAATATTTTCTGGCTTTAAATAACCTATAAAAGGTTGATAATCCATAAAAAAATCAATGTCATGGACTCCATGTACCCCAACAAAAGACGGGTTATTCCAGCAAGATAATGCCCCGTACAATCGGACCCAGGTTGTCTAGAACTAGATTGAGATACATTCTGGTAACATCTGACGAATAGCACAATATGAGCCCAATCATGCATTTGTGGGATGTAGTGAAGAGGTCGATTCACACGCATGATCCTGACAAATATCATGGAGCTGTGAACAGATATCGAGATAGCATGGCTCATAGATTTTCCAGAGTTTATACAACTACTTATGAAATTGATGCCACACCGAGTTGCTGCAATTCGCCGGGACGTCCTACATAATGCTAGGTGACTGTCCCATGACTTTTGATACAAATGTATGGTGACATGTTAAAAATTAAACGCATACCGAGAAACTCATTTCAAATGATTATACTCTTATTACTATTACTATAAATAGGTAAACGTGTTTGTATAGGTTTCTCTTTTTCTTTTTTTTTTTTTTTTTTTTTTTGGTCGGGGTGTTAACAGGGGATTTAATGTCTACTTGTCATCCAAAATGTTATTAAAGAAAATGTACCTCCCGAAGGAATCGGACCCGAATTCCTTTTTCAATCCGAGACACCATTTTTAAAATTGGTTTGCTGTGATTGTTTCCCGTGACTTTATGATAAAACACTCTTGTTTTGAAAGCGTTACACCAAGAAATTAAAATTAGAAGAAAATAATGTTTATGTCTGAATATTGTTTTTTAAAATCATGTATCATTTAAAAATGAAAGCCGTTAATTCGATTATTGTTTCTTTATTTACAATAATGAAGATCTTTATTATTTTTACATAAAAGTTTTCTCTGAAATCTTTAATTGCTTTAAATTTTTGCTTAATATTTAGCTTTATTCTCGGGAATATTTACAAATGTGTAAAAAATGGCGAAAAACAGGTTTATTTACATATTTGACCGATTCAAAATACATGTGTAAATGTAATAGATATTAAAAAGTATTTTCTATTGGTTCATACTAGTAGGACCCGTTTGTGACACTTCGTTGGAAACCAGATGTTTCCGCTGGCGGCCCTATACAGATGGAGACCCAGTTAAGATTATAAAAAAAGAGGAGCTGTTAGTCCAACTAGTCACGTTGGTAGAAGTTGCTCGGCTAACGAAAGAAGGGGTCGAAGAGACTGATGTGCCACGTACATATTACTCGAGAGAATACTAAGTCGGACCAGGGAGCCTAATTGAAATAAACACTAAATTGTAGAGAATCGGATTCCTCTCTTCATTTCTTGATGTTGATTTAATCTTCCGTTTCTAGTGAACGTACCGTGAGTGTTTTCCAGTCTTTATATATGCCAACGCGAGCGAGAGGCGAAACACAACGTGAGGATTGATTTGTCTGGTCAGTGAAAGACAGAGAGGGGGTCCCGTTTTATTTTCGTGTGTAAATTACATGAATTTAGTAATAGATTTTAAATGCTGCATGCTATACTTCTCAACCTATTTCCATTCTCAGATAATTATAAGAAAATGGACACAGCCTCACTTGAAAATTCTGAAATGTCTTCTCACAGATCGTTAGGTCCCGAATCTAGATGTAACCCTTCACTACAAAATACCTCTTCCATATTCTCTCTCTCTCTCTCTCTCTTACACTTTCGGACGCTCAACATAGCCTGGGTTTAATATGATTTTTGATTAAAGGACCATAATCTATTTTAATAATATTACAAAACGATTATAGTTAAGAGGGAAAGATTTTAATTTCAATTGCAGTTCAGGAGCGAGTTTGTCCTCAACAGATCGTTGTCACGAAATATGATTTAACACCTCAATACAAACAACTGCCTTTAATATAAGATGACCCTCCCTCAATCCCTCTCTGTGTCGCACTCTCTCTCTCTCTCTCTCTCTCTCTCTATATATATATATATATATATATATATATATATGATTTTTGATTAAAATAACATCATCTATTTTTATTATATTACAAAATGCGTATAGTTAATAAAGAAAGATTTTAGTTTCAAAAGGTCAGTTGCAGTTCAGGGGCGAGTTTGTTCCCAACAATCTTTCGTTGGGGAAACAGGATTTAACCCCCTCGCTACAAACCACTGCCTTCATCTAAGATGAACGCATTTCAAGCACTCCCTCTGTTGCGCTCTCTTTTTGTCTCTCTATATAACTCTCCCTTTCTTTCTGCTTTATTCTCTATGTCTCTCTCCCTCTCTCTTTCTCTCTTTCTGTTTCCTTCTCAGTATCAGTGATATCATAAGTGACACACACACGTGACCATACATAGGTACAATCGTATTAAAATATAGATTAATCTTTCTATTTACTTATGTTGCAGATTTACTTGTGTTTAGGTAGAAAACTCGTAACCCCTGGTATTATTTTTCCTGTAACAATCATTGCAGACTCGAATGTGAGTCCAAGTAAAAACCGGGAAGCCTCGGGCAGCTGTTCCCCCGGGAACAGGCACCTCACAGTATTTATTTTCCTCTGTTGCGTCTCTGTCCGCGGACAGGGCAACAAATGAGTCGCACTCTGCCAGAAGACAGAGACGCAACTGATAGATGATAAACACTACCCGACACGTGCCAGGTAAGTTGTAAAAGGTTATTTATTTCTGTGCTATAACAGAAAATGTGGCACAAGGCCGAAGTGGGGAATGGGGAAAAAGGTCGGTCTTCTGTCTTAACTTCTAAGGTAAGTTGTAAAAGAGAGACTTAAGGAGATAACTAAGCGACAGTTAAAAGAAAGAAAAAAAAAAGAAAGTCAAGTGAGATAACCCACATTTATTTTAATATTTTTATTTTAATTGTTTTATTTATACGCATTTTACTTTTCCGCTGCGACACGAGAACAATTAATTTTATAGAATAATGTCAAAATATTAAACAAAAGCATTACGTGAATGAACATCTCTGAGATGTATTCATGAAAAAAGGTGTACGTAATAACATATCACCGTCAACTGAATAAGAAATAATAAAGAGAGAGAAAAAGCAAAATCTAGATACAACAGGTCATGTCAAACAGAAATTAACGATTGTTGCATTTAGAAATAATAAGTTTTATTAAATAAAAACAGAGCAGCTTTTATAATCCTCATTTCTTAAGTGAGTCATTCAGTCTTCGCGTGCAGGCGAGCCTGACTCGGTTCCTAACCCCGTGTGCTTAGGCATAATATTCAATTTATAACTCAAGAATTTATTTGATTATCTTGGTAGAGTGCTCGGGTTCATTTCGAGTAGTATGTCTGTATTTTCTTTCCTGGGTTATTGCCTCTCCATTGAAAGTGCTGGTGGGGATAAACGTTCATCTGTCCTCCTGTATAGCAGTGAGTGCGGGACAATCTTCTCAAAGATGAAGAGGAGCCTTGAAGCAACAAAAAATGTGATTCGACAGAGGATACCATGGGCTGAACATGTGAGTAACGAAGTTGTTTTGGAGAAAACGGAAACAAAAAGGAAAGTAATACTTAACATTAGGAAGAAAGAGTTGACGTTTCTGGGGCATATAATGAGGAAGGAGGGCTTGGAAAATCTGATACTCACGGGACAGATAAAGGGTAAAAGGAACAAAGGGAAACAATGCATAACATACTTAATGAGCTTGAGTAAATGGATGACAGAACAGGGCTTAGGAGAAATAACAGAAAGACAAAGTTTATTAAGGCTACATGAGACAGGAAGTTGTGGAGAGCCATGGTCGCTTACGTCTTAAAGGGATACAGCATATAAAGAAGATAGTCAAGGAAATGAATCTAAGTAGGGCTTACCGCCATATCATTTTGAAACACCGGTTCTCGTGTGCTCACCGAAGTTAAGCAACGTCGAGCCTGGAAAATATCGCTTGGAAA